CCGTACTGACATAAATGAACATTTGCACGATATTCTAATTTTTCGAGTTTCACCTGTACATGTACATAACTATCATTCGTCTTTAACTTACTATATTTTGTATAAATATTTCTTTATATTTGTCCATACAAAGCAGCTGCCTCCATACTAATAACCACTCTAGGAGACGTCTGTGGAGTTATCACAAGGCCCTCCATATCCTCCTTTATAAAAGGCTATAGTTTAATTCTTAACATCTCAACTGAAGCATCCTTCAGTCAGAGGGGACTGCACAAAATACTTCTAAGAAAAGAGTAGGGACCAACCTTCAGGGATAGTTCCGATATAACCCACTATCAAATGTTCTGTGTCCATTGGAAGAAAACATTAAATTGGACTCCCTGTGAAGGTCTTTCTCTACAGCAGAGACAGGGCATCCAATCTAGTGTAGCATTGACACACACACCCCAAAAAATATTGCTGGTCCCATCAATGTCAGCAACCAGTTGTACATTTTTGTTGTTGTTCAGTCGTTAAGTCGTGTCCTTTAAGCTCCCCTTGTGGCTTGTCGTTTCTAAAACTGGGGATGGAGCTATCTTCTTCCACAGAGAGCATCACTGGGCTCTTCTAGCCCTTCCTCAGAGTGAGTGGGAGGAGATATCCCCAATGTAGAAAGCCCTGTGTCTGTTATAGAAAAAGGATATTGCGCTGAGTCCAATACACCAATCTCTTTCACATGTTTTTTGGAAGCTTAAAGACCAAAAGCTGCTAATATATATGATGTTATATTAGACTGAACATGTTTATATCGTTTTATAAAATGTTTGTGAATATTATATCTAGTTTTGGATTGTGTAGGTTTTGTGTAAGACTCTTAAGAGTACATTATATGGATGTAGGAAGCATTCATGTGTGCAGAATTCCCACCCAGAGAGAGCGTAATCATACAGAAAAGTTACTGCATGTGTTGGCCTGTCGTCCATGTATTATGCCAGTGAGGCATCACACCTGAAGCTGAGTCCCATGTTGATGCTGATGGTATATGTGAATTAGATTTTAGTTGTAACTCACTTGATTTTAGTAGCTTATCAGTTGACCAAAGTAACTATATTCCACTATAATACTTTAAATGGTACAATATAATGATAATTTCAGTATTTGGAGCCTTTTTCTTTCTTTAGTCACAAAAGGTTTCAAGAATAATGTACAAATATCAGTAATAGATCAGTCAGTGTCTCCCAGCTTCCAGTCTAAAAAACTTAATATCCAAAGAAGAGGAGATGGGAAAATGGGGAAGAATGGGGTGAGGGGTGGGGAAGAGTTCAAGCACCAGTTCTTAAAGTTATAATTCTTATCTGACCAGTTTGATTAAAATGAGTTGAGAAGTATGCTGCCAGCTGGGCATCAGATGGAGAGAGCCAAAGACAGTTGGTTTCTCATTTAAAGTATTAAAGTAGCTCTACTTCTGTTCTTTCCTGTTATTTTGAAGCCCGTGTTTCTATTTTCTTCTACTGTTATTTTATAATAGAATTGTGTAGCAGTTTACTGTACATTGAAAGTTACCACGTACATTTAGTTTTGCATAGCAAAAATTGATCAGTATTCTCACTTAATTTTATTCACAGTACTTACAACTTAGATCTTTTATACCATGCTATAACCTTGTGTTTTCAACAGAAACATTGTCTGAATATATTTGTTTTCAGTCACAAAAAGATAGACATTTTGACTCCTTTTTTTTTAGTAATTCTGCTACTTTTGGTATATTATAGCTGTTTATGATGTCGTAGAAGAAAAGCTAGAAAGTGAGCCAGATTTCCAGTACATACCTGAGAAGTCCCCACTTGATGGAGTTCACCAGGATGACAATGTTCTGAGAGAATCAATGTTTCAGCTAGCAGAAGGGCTTATCACTGGAACAGTCTTGGCTCAGTTTGATGTAAGTAATGTATTTCTGAAAATTATGTTCACTGTGTAGTTTGTAGCTGAGAACTTTAGATTTTTTAAAAGCCATAGATTCAATTTAGGACAAGGAATACCTGGAAAACAATTTGCATTGCTTCATTTAAATTATTTTCTTAAATTTTTAAGAAAGCATAAGTATCTAACTAATCTAAGCTCTCCCATTGAAGGTAAAGTTTTTAATAAACGTAGGCAAGTTTCTCTGAATGCTCCTTAGCTAGTATTTTATATATCCCCAATTGAATAAAATAAGAGTATTATCTTACAATGATTACAGAGTTACTACAAAGCTCTATAAATACCTATATCCATTACGAAGCATATTGAAATGCATATATGCAAATGTAGGTCAGATGTTATCTTGGTCTAATCTAAAAAGTATGCTTTAAGGCAGAGGTAGACAGTTTATTTTTCCAGGACTGCACTTTCAGTTTTATTCATTCGTTTGTTTGTTCTTTCAATGTATCTGACATTGCAAAAAGGCTACATCTGTTCAGAAGTAGCTTGGGAGGAGCAGAGAGAAATGAACAACTGGCATGAGGAGCACTGTAGGTCAACTCTGGTATTGTTGGGCCAAGGGAGATATGTCAGGTGTAGAGGGCATAGAGAATGATTTTGAAGGACAGTGGGAAAAGCCATTACCAAGGCAGTGACCAGACAAATGTGGCTGAAGCCCATTCCAAGAAACTAACTTGAGAAAATGCCTGACAGGCCCCTCCCTAATTCATACAAAGATAAAGTGAGGGACGAGGGAAGCGCATTCAGTCTTGCAGGATTCTTTTTACTATAACTGTTCTAATAAAAATAGTTTTAGATCTATATGGCATTGGTTTCTTAGTCTGGTCTACCCTATAGGCTGATATCAGAGGATACTGGGTGACCATTCCATGGGAAAGGAGACTTTGGTGGCATAACTTCAGACATGGTAACCCCATCTGTTGGTCCAGATGACCAAATTATCAGGTGCTGCTGGTCAGTGTCAGGTCTATCTGTAATATGACTTCATCAGTCCATGAATTGGTGATGGATGAACAGGCAGACTTGACATGTCTAATTGAGACGTAGCTCAGTAAGGTTGGAAATGTTGCCCTGTCTGAAATCTGCCCTGTTGGGTCCTTCATTTTCACTTCTCCTTTTTTATTAATCAGTAGGTAGTGTTATTTAAGGTAGGTCATTTATTTTTGAGGAGGAGCCAATACAGTATCAAGAGCTCCAACATGACTGTGTTTGAGACCAATTAGTATAGCACTTTGCCAGTGAAGTTGCTGAGATTCTTGATTGTTTGTGATCAGAATTCAGGATCATGACTGAGGTGTTGTCTTGCTATATATCTGGGACTCCTTTTGGCCTGTGACTTCTGATTAAGTAGATAGGATGCTTTCTAAGATGTCCACTGTCACTTGCAGGCTGGATCTTTTGCCCCTGTGACTCCTGCAAGCAGGCAGGGGGAGATGATTATTGGAATTATTATTAGGAGGTTATCAGTCCTTCATTGTGGGAGGGGGTTTGCTGGTGGCTTTGAAAGAGGATGAGGTGTGCCTCCTCCTTAAGAGGCTCTCCTTTTATTCAGAGTTGATATATAACTACTGCCCAGTTTTCAACCTACACTTTTTTATGGAAGATTGTCAAGACAGTAGTGGGCGACCAGCCACAAAGCAAAAAATGGATTATCTGGATCCTTTCTACGCAGGGTTCAGACCTGGGCATGGGACAGAGATGGCATTAGTCACTCAAGTGGATGACCTTTGCCTGGACTTAGATAGGGGGAGTGCACCCATCCTGATCATCTTAGACTCTCAGCAGGCTTTGATACCAGCAACCATGGTATCCTTCTGGACTGTCTATAGGAGTTAGGAATTGGGGGTGCTGTGCTGCAGTGGTTCTGCTTCTTTTTCACCAGAAAATTCCATTTGGTGGTTGTAGGGGAACAGAGTTTGGCCTGGTGGTCATTCCCCTATATAGTGCTAAGGGGATCAGTCATTTCCCCTCTAGATTTTAGTATCCACATGAAGCCATATAAGGAGCAGGGAAGTCCTTCTGTGGTTTGTGTTTTAATATCAGTCTGTTGATGATACTCAGTTTTTCATTGTATAGGTGGGCCAAGCTGGAGATGCCATTGAACTCATGTCCTGGTGCCTGTGAGGGGCTGGATGAGTCAGAACTGGCTAAAGTTAAACCCAAGCAAGACAGACCTATAGGTTGCTCATCAAGGCTCTCTGTCTGCTCCAGTGTTGTCTCTTGATGGGGAAGTATTACCCTTGAAGGTGCAGTTCCATGACTTGGAGGTCCTCCTGGATTCACCTTGAAGAGCAGGTGGAGGCCATAGCCAGGGGGACCTTTGACTAGCTTTACCCAGTGCTACAATTGTGGCCTATCTTGAGTGGGAGGTCGTTACTACAGTGACTCATGCCCTTATCACCACCCATCTGGACTACTGTAACATGTACTTGGAGCTGCCTTTAAAAACCACTCAGAAGGTGCAAATGGTCCAGGACACAACAACCCATGGACTCATTAACACAAGACAATGGGAGCACATTACACATGTGCTATGGACCCTGCACCGGTTACCAGTAAACTTCTGAGTGAAACTTAAAGTGCTAGTCTTAATTTATAAAGCCTTTTATGGCTTAGTATCAGGTTACATTTAGGACTACATCTTCCATCTAGAATTAGCCGAATTTATATGAACATTTCAGAAGAAGTAGCTTGTGGGTCCCCACCTTCAGGAAGTGAAAGGGGCTAAGGCCAGGAGGTGCTGCTTCTCAGTGATAGAGCTGGCCTTTGGAAAGGTCTCCTGGTTGAAATTAGATTGGCTTCCTCCCTAACTGCCATCCGCAAACAGCTTTAAACAGGTATTTTATAGAGCGTTCAGGGACTGGTGTCATTTATTATTTTTATATTATTTTTACTAAGTTTTTAATTTTTTAAAAATCTTTACCATTGATGTTTTAATTGCATACAATTAAGGGTCCTTAATTGACTTGCAGTGCAATATCAGTATAATAAATAATAATAATCTTGATTATTTCTATTTTGCAATATGTAGGCAAGCAGGAACATATGGTTGTGAATTGTTTTCTTACTTGCATATGCTATCCCATTACTGATATTCTGTTTTTGTTATCTAATCATTTGTTGCTATTTAGCAACTTTATAGGAAGAAGCCTGGGATGACAATGTCTTGTGCCAAATTACCTCAAAACATTTCCAAAAATAGATACAGAGACATTTCGCCTTGTAAGTACTTTTATGTATATAAGTAAACATATTTTCTTTAGTTGTGATTTAGAAAATTAAATATGTTTATATTTATTTCAGATGATGCTACACGGGTCATTTTAAACAGTAATGATGATTACATCAATGCAAATTATATAAATGTGAGTTGGCATTTATATTTTTTTCTTTGATTCTGTTTTCTGTTTCCAAGGTGAAATAGCTTAACATTTTAGATTTAAAAGCTACAGAAAGAGTTACTTAGAGTAGTATTTGAAGGTACTTCAATAAGTTACAAACTGGCCAAAGTTCCTGCAGTTCACTGTAGATTCAGAAGCTCTTGCATGTCTGTTTTAACTGTTTTTTCTAACCTTCTCTGAAATTAAATTTGATCTAATCAAGAGCATGCAAAGTTTTGACATTTCTAAATGTGTTTTGCAAATGTCTTTATTTTTAGATGGAAATTCCTTCTTCTAGTATAATCAATAAATACATTGCTTGTCAAGGTCCTCTACCCAACACTTGCCCAGATTTTTGGCAGATGACCTGGGAACAAAGTTCATCTATGGTGGTTATGTTAACCACTCAAGTGGAAAGGGGCAGAGTAAGTCCTTAACTGTAACTCTTACAACTAATAGATGCAAGTGGCTGGATTTTATTTAGAAATTTGTTGTTTTTAAACTGTGAAGATATTTGAGCTTTAAATATTACTTGATTAAACATTGGTGTTTGTCATTTTTAATCATTTTCACAAATTGAATGAGGTAAAATTGTATGTTAATATGTTAGTAGTTCCTCAGAAAGTGCACTGAATTAATTCTTGGATAACATTTAGAAAGACAATAATAGGTGTTCAATAGATTTTGGAGGGGGTTGGGACCTGTTCTATCTCCTTTTTCTGAGCCTGTTTTGAGAACATGAATGGTTATATGTATTTAATAATATTTTATGTTGGGCCTTCCATTTATTATTAACTGCTTTGAGCAACATATTGCAGAGTGAAGAAATTGGTAATATCAGTTCAGTATTATGATACATAATTATAGTGCCAATCAAATGGTAGATAGCATCATTTCCAATAGTATGAAATGCATGTGTTCCTATATTAAATGTAGTGTATAAAATGTGAAGAAAAACTGTTCATTTAAACAAAATATAACCACTAGGTTTCTGAAAATAATCTGCAGCATCAACATAAATTTAATTGCAGGAAAACCTTGTTTTGTTTTGTTTTTGAGTTTGTATGTATAACTATAAAAGTGCTTGTAATTTTTAATTAGAAAGTGTATGCAGCTTGAGTGTGATGTCCTTGCATCATCATCATTATTATTATCATCCCAAATCAGTCCACTGCAGGATGAGACCCTCTTTATTGAAGGTTATGGACCGTGTGAACCATGATCTACCACCAGGGCTAGTGCGGATTAGTAGATAGATATTTTTTACTTCACGGTCTCAGGCTGAGAGAGTGTAACTGACCCAAAGTCTCCCAGCCTGCTTCTGTGCCTAAGGGAGGACTACAATCTGGGTCTCCCTGCTCCTAATCCAGCACCTTAACTGCTACAACCGCTACGTCACACTGGCTCTCACTGCTGCCACTTGCAATATACTGTATAACAAATTATATGAATAAATGAAGCATCCTAACTGAGATAACATGCTTTATGGATCTGTCATTGGATTGCTTGTGCAAAACAGTTGTGTAATACATTCGGTTTTGAACCTTATTGCATGCTTCATGTATTTCATATATTGATCAGGAAGAGGTACAAGAAATCAGGAGGAAATCTAGCTTTAGAAATGTATGGAGAAACTTTTGTACTAGCAGTAGCAATAATAACAATAACAACAACAACAATAATAATCTGTTGACTTTAGGTAAAATGTCATCAGTACTGGCCTGAGCCTGGTGGAAGCTCCTTATATGGGAATTTCCAAGTCACCTGTCATTCAGAAGAAGGAAATCCTGCCTATGTCTTCAGAGAGATGACATTGTTTAACTTGGAGGTGAGACATTCTGTCTAATTGATTCAACTTTGTTAAATCCACAAACTGAAGGCAACTTGCCATATAATTTCATTTCTGCCATATAATTTTGACTATTTTTTCTGACACAGTGGAGAGATGACTAAAACATTAACATATTATTGCTAATGTTTTATTCAAAACAAAAGTATAAGAACACATTATCAGAAATCAGATTTTAATTATTTTCCTATTATTTACTCTGTTATTTGGTTTTAAAGAATAAGAAATGCTGATGTCTAATCAAATCTATTAATAGCAGTAGTAAGAAAAGTACATTAATATTAGCAGTACAGAGCTGGATTTAGACATAAGCTAAATAAACTATAACTTAGACCTCATACTCTGAAGATGCCTCAAAATTTGATTTTTTTGCATTTGTTAGAGTTTTTTTTTTATTATTTCATATATGAAAGTCTCAATAAATGCAACATGCTTGCTTCATATGGTCTTGTGCTTCCTGCAATGATAAGTAAATGTTTTTTGGAATGCTCTGCTGAAAAGTGTTACCCTTAAGGAAGAAGGTAAGAAGCACAGCATCTGTTTCAAGAGCATTACAGAATCACTGAGTCTACTGTCTGCTTCATAAAGAAAGAGGAAAGCCAGTATCAGTGCCAATGTGATACCCAACACATCAGAGAATCTGAAAGGGGTGTTCTGTCCATATACAGTCAGGTCCAGAAATATTGGGACATCGACACAATTCTAACATCTTTGGC